TTTGGAAATCTTCTCGGTTACACTTTTATGGTTTTCTTCAAATTTGTATATATTTTTGCGCAGAATTTCGCTGATTGCCTTCTGCTGACAAAACTGTGTCCATTAAATCCCCGTTTCATTGATTTAAGTTGGCCAATAAACCCCACAAAAAAAAACCCCTCTAAGATGCAAAAATAAAACGAAATAAATGCCGAAATTCTGTTGCAAAGTATACATACAAAATCGCATGTCTGAATGTGTGTAAAATTATCTAAATTAAATCCAAGTGCATTTCAAGTGCTGCACATTGTGAGAATCTGTGCTGAAGCTGATGAAGAAACAGGAGACAGGAGATAGGAGTCATTGTGTGCTTGCCACAAGAGATACACATCTGTAGAGATACCAATACCGAGATACCGATATAGACAGCGATATATAGATACCGATAAACCTACATACATATTTTAAGCCAATTAAAGCGCCCACGTGAACGAGGGATAAGAATTACAAATATAAAAAAACAAACAAAAAATAGCAAAGATTAGCTGAAGAGTAATGCAAAATACTCGTGAATACTAGAGAAATTATACTTTTAGCTAAACTCAAAATGGAAAACTTACAAAAAATGTATCCAAATTCTTCCGTAAATGAAAAACATTTCTAGCAAAACAATTTACCATGCATAAGAGTCTATATATATACATATAAAGTATACTATATACTATACTGAGCAGCATAATAGTAGAGTCAAAGTCAAGGAAATACGTAAAACATATGAGACACTAAAAAACGAACACACCCCAACCCAAACCCAACACCCGAAAACAACACAAAAGGAATTACAGATCAAGCAAACGACAAATGATATCAGCCAGAAGCAGAACAAAGCATAGAAAGAGGAGGCTATAGGTAGTAGAAAGAGACAGATAGGGGTAGAAGATAATGGCAGAATCGAACTACTGATCTCTAATGTGTGCTCTATGCTGAAAGAGAGGCAGAGCTAGAGATGGAGAAGCAAGCAGAACACACACAAAAAGTATTACAATTTTGAGCTGCAATATTTTTTAATCAAAAAACGAAGCGAAGGTTTAATGAAAGTAAAAATAAATATAAAGATAATAATTAATATATATTTTTCTCTTTTGAGATAAACGAAAAACGAATACTGTTTTTGATGTGAATTGAGTTAGGAAAAACAAATTTAAAATAAACAAAAAGAGATCATAAAACAGTAAAACATATTCCGAAAAGTATCAAAAAAAGAAAACAAACGAAACCAAAGCTATAGCTAAGGAAATGCACAAAATTTTGTGTGTATTTTTTTCGGTTTTATTCATGTGTGTAAAACTTCCGTGTGAACAAAAAACAAAACAAAAAGAAAAAGAAAACCAAAACTACACTACACTACAAAAGCAAAGCCAGACACTAAGCCCAACTGAAATTGTCAAATATGAATAAATATATAAAGTCTATATGGAATATATATTTAGATAACAATATATATATATACATATATATTATATACATATGTACATGTGTGCAACTTATTCAGATCCATCAAAGTACGATGCAGCAAAGGAAAGAAGTCTCTATATATATTTAGTAAATTATAACAAAGGAAAGTAAAAAAAATGATTACGTAGTACAACGGCAAGCGAAATAAAAAGTATAAAGAAAAAACATATAAGAAAACGAAACAGAAACACGAAATCGCGAAAAATCGGGGAAGAAGATAAAGTCGAAAATGCAAAAAAAAAAACCTAAAAACAAATGAAGAATAGCATAAAAAAATAATTATTTATAAAGGCTGTAATTTTAAGTAAAGAACAACCCGATAAATATAAACACGATAGTGGAAGGTAAGGGGAAACCAAACGAAAAGCGAAACAAAATTTAACGTAAACATATTTCACCCACAAAGCAAATTATATTAACTAAATCTGAATGGTAAGACAAGAGAGAAATACTATAAAACTTAAGTACGAACGATATCTAAAACGAAATTATAAACCTAAAAGAAAAACGTATATAAAATAATTACATACAAAACGAAAACAAAAAAATGAAGTAAAGCATAAACGTAAAAGCAGAAAAAAAACCACAAAAAAATTATATATACATATACGAGAACTCAATGTATGTAATAAATATAAAACTAAATAAATAAAATATTTAAAAAATGGAATAAACCGGAAGCTCTGAACGTCTTTCACTTGGATAGTCGCCGCCGATCAGGCCATGGATTGATGTCACGCGATGACGCGCCTGAAAGAGAGCCCCTCTCCCCTCCCTTTGAGCATGAAAAAACATCGTATGGGTTTCTACTATCTATAAACTAGAATGCATTTTATTTAATCTTTGTTGTGCTTTTTTTGTAATGCCAAGGTACATGAATAGCCGTAGCCACGCGGCGGCCCCTGCCACTGGGGAGACATCGCACTGGGATTCGTTTTGGTTTTGCTCTAGTTCCAGTTCCAGTGACGCTACGTGGCCGGTTTCGTTTACAATTACTACTACACTCACGATAACATTTATCGCTCCACAATACTACAAACACAATAAATACATAGAGTGCAAAATGCAACAACAAAAAATATTATGAATATTTAAAGTGTGTCTGTCGTCGTCTGTCCACACATTAGGAACATGTCAAGGCCGGAACTAAGAGCTATGTGGATGGAGTCGTCCTTCCCTCTACTTGTTGATGAAGCTGTGATTGTGATTCTGCAGCCTCACACTCTTCGGCGCCAGCTGGGAGCGGTCGAATTCGCAGGTCTTGTTGGTCTTCACCATCCGTGGATTGGGTCCCGCGGAGGCTCTCCAGTAGACCGTTTGCACAGCATTCCGTCCGGCAATGTAGCGGGATGATGAGGCAACCAAATGAGGCAATTTATTTGCAGCAGACATTCTGGTGATTTGATGGGATTTGGCGTTGTTCCTTGGTAGCAGCTATCACAGTTGGTATATAGAGAGAGATGTTCTCTATATCAGATTTAGGTTGGGTTTGACGGGGGTATACAGTCTCTCCGCTTTGTTCAATTCATTGGCGCGCACGGTTCGTTTCTGTGGCTCTAGTCGCTGCTGGATCCAGTATTTATAGGAGGAGTCTGCTGTTCGCTTATCGCACCATTTGTGTGTTTGGGCATTTGCTTCTTTCTAAGTACGAGTAGTTGGTGGCTTATCAGCTGTTCGCTGATGATACTGCTGTTAAAAGGGTTGTTAATTGATTAGCTTATGGCCCAGAGTCAAGCCGAGAGCCACCCACCCGGACAGACCCGGGCCACTATTGCGATGCGTTGCAATAAAATGCAATTGCGACGCATTTTCCATAAAGGGTTTTGTGTTTACCTGTCTGTGGAGTGTTTCAGCTGTATTCTGGTTATAACTAAAGACTCAATCTCGTAAGAATACTTCCCATACGAAGCTCAAAGTCCAAAGATCACAAGATACCGTCTGAATAATTGCGCAATCATACATACTCCATATACCCTAATGACGTAAATCAATGAATATTTATTCTGTATATAATTACTCGTCGAGCTGACACATTTTCGCACAGCTCTCTCATGGCACGAAACAGAGGTCATGTTGTCCCATATACGAGTACGAGTGTATATTAATACTCAAACACATCCTGCCTATTAGATTATGCACTCTAAGATATATTCCAACTAATTGTATGCCTAGTATAGGCTCGGGGTCTTCTCTCTGTAGTGTGTGTTGAGCCCACTAGCATGAGCTCTCGACGTGTGCACGCTCGGTCCTCTTATCAGTCTGCCTTTCAAAACAAAACGTCAGACGGCACCCCCCCTCTGTGAGTATGGGAATGAGTCTAGTTGGGTCTATGACTGCAATCAGCTTGAATGTGTTGTAAAATCCAGCCAAAAGCGTGCGCTCGAAATTAGTTAAATAACAATAACAAATAACAGACGATATGATGATCACATCGCTTGGGCACCCATTGCAAGTTCAAGTTCATTACAGCAAGCCGCCTTCCCAGTCTTATCAACAACCTCCTACCACGTTGTCTCATAGTGCAATTTCTTCGTCATGCTCCAATATCTGGGTCGGGAATCGGGAAAGCAAAGTACATTAATCTTATGGGGGGAACACAATAATATTCCGAAGGAATATTTTGTCGCCAAAAATTTTCCGCTTTCACGCTATCGAAGAGTGTTTTCTATAGCTTGTTTACAATTGTTTTCTTTTTTTGGGCTCTTGCGACTGATAACGCGGTGAGAGTTTGTTCCCATTCAGCTTTTAGCACTTTCTGTGCCAAAAATCACTTATCAACACAGAAGAAAATAAAACAAAATAGAAAACAAAGCCGAGGAAAGATAAGAATATAAATAAAGTAATCGCCAGACTTTGGCTTCTTAGCAGGCGGTGTCGATGTCCATGTCTGAGGAAAATCGCGTGAATTTGTTTGGCCTGTGAAGAAATTTGGAGGCCTATCGTTTTGTATGATTTTATGACATAGATTGCGGGGGGGCCTTACCCTAACAATAAAAGAGATTGTAACCCAAAAGAGCAGAGAATCAGCAGGTGGAATTTCTTTTGCCAGTTGCCGGGCACTGATAAGGTTTTTATTTTAGTTTTTCGGCTTGTGTTGATAGTGTAAAATGCGAACCAATGCTATAATAACCCATAATCGAAATGTAGATTGGCACTGGCATTGACACAGACGTGTGTCACGGTGTTGACCCAATATAAAGAACAAACACCGACAAGTTGTACAAATTTTGGCAAGCAACTTTCATTGCCTACTTTTGGGACTCTATCTTTGGTATGGATAGGGTAAAGGTAGTACCAAAAAAAGTATTCTAACTGGTGGAATTCCCTGCTAGATTGCTAATTGAATTAAGTGTACATACATGTAACGCCTACAACTAACCGAATAACCAACTAATTCCCGCTTAAGTCATCGGATCTGACTGTGGCCCGCGGTAATTGGGTTTAATTGGTACAGACAAGAAGACAGGCAATTAAAGCGGAAGCAAACGCTGTGAACTGTGGCTCGATTGGGTTAGTTTTTGGTCTCTGTATTGCTTAAGTAGTTTACACATAAATTAACATAGTATGGCTGGACTCATTAAATACGATTGCTGCTGCCGGCAACGATTGACCTCACTGGCAGCGAGCGCGAACCCAGACGAGCAGAAGCAGCAGGAGCATCGAGATGATGCTGCCACCCAGTTGCCCGCAGCCATTGCAGACCTTTCGAATGGTTTCCGTATAGAGGCCACGGCGTGAGAGAAGGTTACGAATGCTGCGCAGCTCCTAGAAATGATATTAGATTATGGTTTGATACAGACCTAATTGGGAATTCGCTTCAACTTACATCTGCACTGAGTCCCAGGCGATTGCGTGACAACACCACCGTGTAGATGGAGCTCTTCACATCGTTGCCGCAGAATGTCAGCACCAGGTGATCGTTGACCGCTTTGACCACCTGCACGGTGCCCGTGAATTGTGTGTAGGAGTTGAGGGTCACCAGACTGCCGCGTTGATCGCCAATGTTGGACCACTGACCAGGTGTTCGGGTCGTATAGTTGAAAGTGTACTCCAGATTATTGTCACGTTCGCTCCACACCAAACGCAGATAATTCTGCTTGACATGTCCCTGATGATTCGGATAATCGTCCTCGCCCATGTACGAGGGTGTGGTCGGGGTACGTCCGTAGTTGTTTTGGTTGCGGTTGTAGTCCGGGGAGCCATAGCCACCAGCTCCGCCATAGCCGCGATTGTTGAGACTGTTGACCATCTGGGAGAGAGAATTTCGATGAGATTTGAGATGAGATCTCTGGGGGCAGCTACACTTACCTGATCGGTCACGTCAGCCAGGTGTATGATCACGCACGAATCGTACTCGTAGACGCCGGGAAAGTCTTGGCTGTGCACAATGATCTCGCTGCCATACCAGAGGCCCATTATCTATATAGAGACAGATTCTGGTCATTAGTTGTGAGTATACACACACCCATGGAGTGGGAGAGAGAGAGAGAGAGAGCAAATGTAATGTAATGCTGATGGGGGTCATCATTTGTGTGCTATTTGCATTCGACTCTTGCTGTGCGTTCAATTAAATGTCACTACAGTGGGACACAAACGATGCTGGCTGCGACTGCTCACTGCTCACTGCTCCTCCCTCGACATTGGGCCCACATTCGGCGCAAAGGGTTAATTAGAACAAATCAGCAGCAATAATTTCATTAGCCAGCCAGGCATTCCCTCTAATCATTGGGAGTGTTCTCTCCCCCGTCCTCACCTGTTCCAGATCCACCGAATTCTGTGGATTGATGTTCATGCAACGCATTGCCGAATTGATACGCTCCGTTGTGCTGGATCCACCCGGCAAGGTGATGCCATATTGCTCCAGCGCATTGCCGGCTATGTGACACCAGCAGAGGCTGAAGATCAGCCCGTATGCTGCCAGGGATCTGGTGTACATTCTTGTGGATTGGGATGCTCTAGCTGCAATGATGATTGCTGATGATAACCCCACTAGATCGGTGATCTGCACTATCTGAAGTCTCACTACTGACTAAAACAACGGGACTGAGCTTAACCGACAGCTCAGATCGGATGCGCAGCGACACAGAGCCGGAGAGAGAGCTGCAGAGAGAGAGAGAGAGAGCATCTCTCGCGAGAGTGAGAGTGCACGCTTTCAGTGTGGGAGAGAGAAGCACAGAGCACAAAGAGAGCAAGAGAATAGAACTGTACATGTCTGCGCACGCTCTGCTCTGCGTACGTAGCCCAGTAACGGCAAATTGTTATATTAATTAAGTTAATTGTAGCGCTTTTTTCTCCAGGGCTGATCATCCAGCAACGCCCGCACAATGTGACTCAAGCGAGGCGCGTAAGCAGAGCTCGCACCAGCCCCGTGCGCCCCTTCCACCTTCCGCTACCTACTCCCCCTTTTGACCTACGAGTCGCTTGGTGTCAATTGAGTGTGTGTCCGCTCCGAGTTGACCGTCAATTAAACGAGTGGCAGTGGCTGCCCCCAAAAAGGCAGCCAAGAGGCAACAGAGGAAAAATCCACAGCTTGAGTGGAATCGGAGTAAGGCTATGGGAATGGGACTGGGGATAAGTCAAGAAAACATCAACGGACTTGTGAATTAAATCATTGCCGTCGCTGGCGAATGTTGTTGTTTTGACGCTGATGTTGTTGTGGTTCCGCTTATTAGCATTGATTATGCCATTAAAATGCCGCTGGATACGGGAACGACATTTCAAACGACAGAAATATGCAAAAATAAAACAATTTATTACAAGTTTTGTTACAAAATTCGAACTTTACATATAGAAGTCATGTAAGCGATAAGGAAGTTTCCCCTTAGAAGCGCAACAAGCTCTCATTGATCTTCTCGTAGATCCAATCGATGTAATGATTCACGCGCACATAGACACCCGGTCGGTTCATGTAGCCACAGTGCTGTCCCCAAGATATCAAGCCATACAGGGTTTCACCATCTATAAATAGTAGAAGAAGAAATTGTCAGAAGATACTGAACATTAGCAGGGAGCTAAAAGTTGTACCATCATCAGAGCAAACAAGCGGACCGCCAGAGTCGCCCTCGCAGGCATCTACGCTCTCATCCATGGAACCAGCACAGAACATGCCTGAAAGTAAGTTAAAGATTTTTAAGAGTGGCTTACAAATTTAACTATAATTAAACACACCTTCGGACATGGCTGAGCCATAGACTTTCGATTGCTTGCAGGTGGCATCCGGCAGAATGGGCAACTCCGCAGATCTCAGCACCTGAGCGGGAGCTGCAATGGAAGAGGGAACAAAATTAGCTGTATACCAGATATCTCTATGATTGATAACCCAACTTACTGGACACACCCGATTTGATGGAACCCCAGCCGGAAATGGTGCAATTTCGATTCGCTTGGAGCACCGCATTCTTGTCCGGCAGACAGATGGGCTGCACATAATCGCTGAATTTGAGCGGACGCTTGAGCACCACCACAGCGATGTCATTGTTCATGTGAGTGCCGTCGCGGAACTTCTCGTGCGTGTACCACTTCTCAATGAAGGTGTCCACCTCGGAGGACTCGGCAATGTTGGCATAATGATCTCCCACGCGCACAAAGTACGCATCCTTCGCATTGCCATAGAGACAATGAGCGGCGGTGAGTAGATGACGCTTGGAGATCACCACAGCGCCGCACCAGTGGCTGGAGATGCCGCCACGTCCGCGTGTACGAATGGTAGCCTGCCAGGGATGACGACCGCGACGCGCTGTCTTGCCCTTGATCACACGCTCCCCGCTGTGGGCATACTCATCCGACAGATCGTCCTTGAAGATGCCACAGCGACGAGGCGAGCGCATGGCGCGACTGGAACGCTCCCACAGTCCAATGTCGGAGTAGGTCAGGGCAGCGCTCTTCTCAACTCCCGCCTGCTTCAACGCCTTGAGGCGACTGGCTGAACGCGGCGGCGGTCCCGCCGAGCAATGCAGCGCCACATCCTCGGTATGATTGCAGTTGTGATCGCCCCAGTTCCAGTGGCTGCACTTGTCGATGCTGATCTCATTGCCCAGGCACATGACCTGATCCAGCCAAATGGGTCCGTTGCCATGGCCAAAGATTTTATTTTCAAGTTTCTAAAGGGATAACAGGGAATAAGGTGAAACTTTATGGAGAGATCTCGACTGATCTGGCTTACCGCTGGTCCATAGTAGCCCAAGGAATTGCATGCCACTTGGGCGGCCTTCAGATTGAAGTCATCATCGCACACGCTGCCCCATACGCCATGATATTTGACCTCCAATCGGCCCTCATTGGAGCTGCGTCCACCCTCCAAACGAAACTCTACAGGAGCCTGTGTGTGAGAGGAAACATCATAAGATTCTAATGGGAATTCCTGACGCTCAACCCACCTGACAAATGGCCGCACTTTCATCCGACTTATCCGCACAGTCCGCTGTGTGATCGCAAACGAAGGCAGGCGGTATGCACTCCTTGGATGTCTGACAGAGCCAATAGTTGTTAGGACACTTCATCATGGGCACTTTGCAGGCCACGCCGGCCACCTCATCGACGCCGCAGTTGTGTACGCCCCAGCCCTTGAAGTCACAATCCTTGAGCATTGTCTCGTTGCCATGGCACTCCACCTCGTCCATGGCATAGTTGAAGTTCTGATCTTCCGGTGCATAAAAGGAGCTGCCACGCACCTCTTGGGCGCCCAATTTGTAGCCCAGTTCGCGGCACACCACATCGGCGTCCCGCAAGCCGAATTTGTCGTCGCAGACATAGCCCCACTTGCCATTGACTGGGGAGGGAAAGGAATTGATTAGTGAACGAGTTTGTACTCTCTGGTTAAGACTCACCTTTAACAGATATGCGACCCATGTGTGGCTTCTCGCCGCCAGTTAGACGCACCTCGTAGCCCAAGTGCTGGCAGTTGCTCTCATCCTTGCGATTGCCGCAGTTATTGAAGCCATCGCAGACCGAGTCCAGCGTCACGCAGTTCCCATTCTGGCAATCGAATTCGCAGCTGTCACTGAAGGAGCTTCGCACGCCGATCTTGGGTGTGGCTGACTCGGCATTCGGATTGGACAGCAGCTCCCAGCTGTTCTCCTCCTGCGGCTGCTGCGGGTCTTCAGGCGCTTCCCACTCAGCTGGCTTGTCTTTATTGGCAAAGGGATTGGGCATCTCTGGATGACGACGATGAAAGTCGGGACTATGCTCGTGGTGTCTGTGCTGATGTGGGGAGTGAGGGGGCAGATGGTTGTGGTTGTGTTTTTGGTGCAGCGAGTGCGGTTTGAGTAGATTTGGATTTGGATGACGTCTGTGAAAGTCACGACTGTGACCGGACGCGTGCCAATTGACTGTCGTTGTCTCGATTGCCGCACGGCGTGTGCTCCGCTGGTAATCGGTCTGTGATCGGTACGTGGTGGGATCTAAGGTCTGCTCGGTATGGGCCGTTTCCCCAGCATCTGCAAAATCAGAGTCAGAGTCGTCAGTTAGGTCCAAGCTCTCCTGTTCCCCGGCTTTAATCAGTTCAGCGTCATCGTCCGGATTGGCTGTTGTTGTCGCTAATCTAACAGGGTTTGGAGTTGTCGTTGTAGTTGTCGTGGTCGTGCTAGTGCTCGTTGGGGGTTTGCTTATCACAGAAACTAATGCCAATTCTGCCTGCTTTGCCTGCCGCTCCTGAGCATTGCCACTGTGGTTGAAGTAGGGACGCAGCATCAGCTTTAGCGCCTCACTGATGGCCAGCTGGGACACAGGATCAGGCGTTGTGGCTCGCTGGGAGACTGATTGAGGCGTTGTGGGTGCCTGTTCGGAAGGACTGTAAAACTTATGATTAAAGGGAGGCGGCGCATAGCCACTTCTGGCGGTTGTGGTCGTCTCTGGAAGCCAATAAGGCCTTGGTCGATCGTTTGCCTCATAATCAAGTTCCTCTTCATAATCGTTATCCTCTTCAATGCTGGAATCGTCAGGTCGTGCTGTTGTTGTACTGGTTGTCGCTGAGGACCCCTTGGCCCAGGAGGCATTACGCGAATGGGCAATGCCCGCATAGGAGGGACTATAATGAGGCTGACTGCCACTGCCCCTGCTAGTCAGAGGCACCGAGGCATTAGCTATGCGAGGATAAATGGGAAACACGTGCAGCGTGGAGGGTTTCTTTGTTGTTGTGGTCAGCGGACTGGGATTGGGCGGCAGCAAGCCACCATAGAGATTCGATTCATCGGAAGGAGCTGCTGGAAGTGGGCTGCTGGGAGTGGGTTTAGGGGGCTGCCGTGGGGCACTTGGATTGAAACGTGTGTCTATCTGATGCGATTCACTTGGCAGCTGATCGTTGTCCTGTTTGGGTGGCAGCAAACCCCGACTGGGTGCACGCGGATAGGCCTGAGGCTCTTGGGGATCGTAGTCCAAGTCGATTGGTTGCTGTCCTGCTAAGTGTGCCCTGGAATGGAGTTCCCTGCCACTAGGCTGGTACGGATTGTAGGTCGGTCGATCGTCCGGCGTGTAGTCAAGGTCCAGGGGTTGTTGTCCGCCGAGTGGAGCAAGTGGAGGCATTGATTGGTTGGGTGTTTGCTTTGGGGGAATGGGCTGCCATCTGCTGTTCTCCACTCTGGGACTGTAGTTGTGGCGCGACGGAATGGGTGCAGGAGCAGGTTCCTCCTCAACGGGCACCGCGTAGACCACCTGGCCAGGAGTGTTGGGCGCCATGGGTGCCAGAGGAGTGCTGGGCGCCAGTGGAGTCTTAGATGTAGGATAATTACGGTTGGGCTGTAGCGATCCCTCCACATAGAGCACACTCTGAGTGGGTGAACGATGGTCGTAGGAGCTGCCCTGGCCGGACCAGCCCTGCGCCTGATTCGCATGATACTGGGGACTGTGTTGGAAGCCAATGCCCGCAGGACGCTGCATGTTCATGTCCCTCCAACGATCACCATCGCCAACGACCCTCGTTGTGGTCGTTGTCCTCGCCACATAATGATTGCCCCACGGATCCTGCCCAGCTGTCGTGTACGACTTGGACTGTCGATTGTCTGCAATGAGGAAAGAGCAAAAATTAAGACAAGTCGAACAACAGCAAAGTGTTAGTAACCATTCGGCTGATCCCGCCACCCATAAGAGGAGGAGGAGGTTTCCCTTTCGCCATCACCCCTGACGATATAGTCACAGCGATCGTGGCTGGGCACCTCGGCATCTGGCTCGCACAAGCGACGGGAAATGCTGAAAATCTGTCCACTCGGACAGTCGTAGATCTCGGCCTGCCCCGGCTGGCAACGGAAGAACTTGCTGGCAATCCGCGGATGTGGCAGCGAGCCACTGATGCCTACGGGACAGACGGGTATGGCGCCCTCGGCTTTCATTTGCTGCGTCCACTCGTAGATGATCGACAGCTCGGTGTTTGTGTAGAGTCGATCCTCGCGCTTCACCTGCTCCTTGGGCTGGCACAGCCCGTGGAAGACACTGAAATGTTGCTCTGCCGGACAGCTGGTCAGCACCATGCCATTCGGGCCGCAGCTCAGGAACTTTGTGCAGTCGAAAGGATACACGAAGTAGCCACTGGCACCCACAGGACATCGCACAACTGCAAGAGGGGAGAGAGCATTGTCAGACACACAATTTGGGACTCGATTGGCAGCCTCTACTCACAGCCAGCCTGCTCCACGGATCTCTGCTGGTTGTACGGTATGCGATCCCAGCTGGCCACCTGCTCGTGAGGCACACAAAAGCCGCGGGAAATGCTAAAGATATCGCTGCTGAAGCATCTCCTTGTCAGCGTGTGTCCCTCCATGCAGTGCAGATAGCCCATGGCATCGAAGGGATTGGGGAACAGGCCAGTGGCTTGGGGTGGACACGTCAAGGCAGCGGACGCGGGCCGATAGGCGGCACCTCCGTCAAAGGGCGGTCCAGTTGCTTGTGACGGGTATCCTCCGGTAGGTGGGTAGCCGCTTCCAGGATATGTTTGTGGCGGGTAAACACCGACCTCGGAGAAACCTCTGCCCTGCGATTGTCCGTAGGCTTCATCGAGTGCAGGTGCGGTAGGTTGTGGCTGATACCTGCCATCCAGTGGCTGTCCTGAAGGTCGAGGCTGATATCCCCCATTCAATGGCACTCCGGAAGGTTGTGGCTGATTTCTGCCATCCAGTGGCTGCCCTGAAGGTCGAGGCTGATATCCCCCATTCAATGGCACTCCTGAAGGCTGTGGCTGATATCTGCCATCCAGTGGCTGTCCTGAAGGTCGAGGCTGATATCCCCCATTCAATGGCACTCCTGAAGGCTGTGGCTGATAACCACCATCAAGTGGAAGTGGGTAGCCTCTGCCAGGCCCGTTTGGCATCTCCACTTCCGCCTCTTCGCTCAGTTCGTGCTGCGTTTCGCTCAGATACTCCACGCGATCGTAGGCCGCCGTCACCTTGTCCCTGGCCACGCACAGCTGCTGCGAGATGCTAAACACTTCGCCCTTCTTGCAGCTCTCGATGGCTGCCTGTTGATCCCAGCAGATGACATACTTGGTGCAGTCAAAGGGATGCAAGTAATAGCCCTGGCTACGGGGAGGACACGTGATCATGGTAAGATCCTGCATAAAGTCAGCTACAGCAGGAGGGAGGAGACGATCAGCTGAACTCGAATCAGTGGGAAAGTGACAGAAGCTTACTTGAAAACTGTCCCGAAATGTTGAGCTAAACATAATCCAGATAATCATGGACAGAGAGCAGATGACGAGCCGCACACACCCGCTGGGACAGACTGAAGACGAAGCCGGGGGGACAAGACTCCACCTGGAGCAGTCCATTCTGACACTTGACAAAGTGACCCGCATGGAAGGGATAGGGGAAGTTGCCTTGGAGACTGCGTGGACACGATCGCAGGGGAGATTGCAACGTCTGACTGTCCTGATAGCTGTAAGTGGTCTGCACCTGCAGCTCCTCCCAGAACTTGACCCGATCTCCAGCAGTTACTTGACGCCGCGGACGGCAGGCCTTTTGCGACAAACTGAAAGCCAACTGTGGACCACACTCGACGATGGACATCTTGCCAGCGGAGCAGCGAACATATTTGCCAGCATCGTAGGGATAGAGATGAAGGCCATCGGTGCCACCCGGACAAGCGGAGAGAATCATTGCTGGTGGAGGCAAAGTGTAAATGGAGAGACTGGACACCCGTGACACGACTTACAATACTCGTAGCTGATCTCCGAGACGATGTACGTCACATAGTCGGAGTAAACCAATTGTGACTTGAGCTGGCACTGCCCCTTGGATATGCTGAAGACATAGCCAGGCTGACAGCCCTGCACGGCCACCTTGCCGGCCTTACAATTGAGGAACTTGGTTTGATCGAACGGATGGACGAAGAGTCCATCCACGCCCGCAGGACACAGCAGATCGTTGGCAATCGTCGCCACAGAAGTCGCAGGAGTGGCTGAGAAGGGGGCACAAGGATAAGAGTTTATACCAAAAGTAGATAGAGCAAAGAATGGAAACCCCAAGATGGTAAAGCAGATGAAAGGATAAAGCGGAAAGGATTGGACTCACTGGAAGGCTGCGTGGAACCGCTGCGGTATGTTGCACCACTCTGAGCAGCACTCCTGCCGCTGCAGTCCACTTTGTGGGCAAAGTCACAAGTGCTGCTGGCAGTGCTCCAGGCAGTTCCCGGCCCACAGCTCTGCACAGAGGTCTGACCATTGGCGCAGTTGAGGAACTTGCTGCAGTCATAGGGATGGGCTTGCAGACCAGTAGCACCCGGAGGACATGAAGCAACGTCCAGATTTACATTCAGATTCGTTCCATGCGACTGTCGCCCTTCACTGAGTTCATGTTGCGCCTCCCGCAGATACTCCACGCGATCGTAGTTGGCGGCCAGTTGATTCTTGGCCACACAACGCTGCTGGGAGATGCTGAACACCTGCGACTGTGGACAGCTTTCGACGACAGTCTGCTGATTAAGGCACTTGAGATACTTGCTGCAGTCGAAGGGATGCAGATAGTAGCCCCTGCTCTGCGGAGGACATGTAACCGCTGTGAAATCCTGCATAAATTCAGCTGCAAACGGGGAAGAGTCACAACGGATCAACGGATAGGAGAGTTAAGGTTTCGGCTTACTGGAGAACTCAACGCTGAGATAATCGTAATCCAAATAGTCATGGGCAGGGAGAAGATGACGGGCGGCACACACCCGCTGGGACAGACTGAACACAAAGCCAGTTGGACAACATTCCACCTGGAGCTGGCCATTCTGACACTTGACAAAGTGCCCGGCATGGAAGGGATAGGGATAGTTGCCCTGAAGATTGAGGGGACAAGCTTTGAGCAGGGATACCAGAGCTGAACTCTGCGTTTCCTGATAATTATAGCCCGTCGTCTGAACTTCTAATTCCTGCCAAAACCTCACACGATCCCCAATGTACACTTGATGACGCGGCCGACATTCTCTTTGCGACAAACTGAAGGCCAACTGTGGGCCACACTCGAGGATGGACATTTGCCCGTTGGCGGAGCAGCGAACATATTTTCCCGCATCATAGGGATACAGATGAAGGCCTTCTAAGCCACCAGGACATGCGGTAAGCATCAGAGCTGAGAGAGGGTAAAAGGTTAAGAAAGATGATTGAGAGTCTGACCGAATGGGGGACTTACAATACTCAAAGCTGACCTCAGAGATAATTAAAGTCACATAATCGCTGAAGACCAACTGAGATTTCAGCTGACAATAGCCCTTGGATATGCTGAACACAAAGCCCGGCTGACAGCTCTGAACGGCCACTTTGCCGTCTTTGCAATTCAGGAATCTCGTCTGATCGAAGGGATGTACAAAGAGACCATTCGCGCCAGCAGGGCACAGTAGATCCCTTAAGTGATGCTCGGCAGAAGCGAAAGCAGCAGCTAGGACAGGGCAGTGGAGTAAGGATTATAATTTCAAGCAATAAAAAAGCAAAAGCAGCCAAAAGCAAAGGCATGGAATAGCATATGAAAAGCAAATCAAACCCCAAATGGAAAAGCAAATGAACCCAAAGCAAAGCAAAGGCATAAGCAATATAAAAATCAGAAATGAAATTCGACTTACAGGACGACGACTGGGCAGAGGAGGCTGAAAAAACACATACCAACTGGTGGGCATCGAAGATGTGCCCATGGGGACATGTCTCCACCCTCGCTTGAACACCAATGCCGCAAACCAGATACTTCTGCGGATCATGATGATGCTGATGAAGGCCACGCAGACCGGGGGGACAGCTGGGAACCTCCGAGGAGACTTGTGGGTAGCCTGACCCAAGTGTTAGTTAGGGGGCAAAGTGGTGAGCATTAATCATACATACCCTGTCCGGTTGCTCCTGCGCCACAGTCGACGGTGCTCTTGTGGACACAGATGAGGGCGGATGGACTGAATGCCGTGCCCGGTCCGCAGTCCTGCACAAAGGCTTGTCCATTGGCGCAGTTGAGGAACTTTGTGCAATCCGTGGGATGTGGCTGCAAGCCAATCACTCCAGGCGTACATCTCGGCTCTGCATCGAGTTCCCTCAGACGCGCTGATCGATTTGGCTGAGCTGCCGCTGGCGCTGCACATGCCACATTGCTGGGATGATCGCAGACCAATGTTTGGGCATTAAACAGTGTGCCGGGTGCACAGGTTTGGATGGTGGGACTGCCATGGTGGCAGTTTACATAGCGATGGCAGTCATAGGGATAGGCCACCACACCCGAGAACTGCGGCGGACATGCTCCTCCTGCGCCTCCTCCACCCGATGGTCGTTCGTAGATGGGCTGCTCTTGAATGTTCCCGTGCGTCGAGTGGCCTGCCGATAACCCGACTTGTTCCGATTGATCGCTGCCTGTCGTCCGGTAGCCGCCAGAATGATAAGCATTCGCCTCATGCCCCTGTCGATGGCATAATTATGAAATTATTATTGAAAAACATCAATTAAGATTGATCTTTGAGGGTTTTAGCTTGTAAATTAGGATCAATTCAAGTGCGCAATCACTTCCTGTTTACAATTGGCAAAGCTGATTCAGGGCGGATTCCAGACTCCATCAAATACTCACATTATACAGGAGGAGCACCAACCAAAGGCCCAAAAGCCACTTGGCCATGTTTTTCGTTTCTGTTTTCTTGAATATAGATTTTGTATGTATATTCCTTTATATTCCACAGCTACTGATAGCGACTGTTTAAAGATGTTGCCCGAAACGCGTTTGAATTTCTGTTTTCAGTTGTGATCCCGCTCAAGTCTCAGCCTCAACTGACTCAGCGCTCGGCTCGCGTTTCAATTGATAGAAGGAGAATCTCTATCTCTGCTCCCTGTTCGTTGATAGATGCTGATGAGACTCGGTCGCTCTCGCCGCACATAGCCAATTGAGTCGGGAATTATCTGTTTTAGTAATCTTCAAGACCTTTTTGTTTTTACTGCCTTATCGCTGCATTTTTGTTTGTATTCTTTTTTCGAGGGTTTTTCCCTCACATATATTTATGGTGATGCTCTGCTACTGCTGATAATGAATGGGATGGGATGGCATGGATGCTCCTCCGCGATGATTTACAGTGGCGCAAAGTTGCATTTTATGGCTGCCCTGCTCTCTGTTTGTATTTGCATTCAACAAACAACTTATGTTTCACCTAATTTAGACTAGAATGACTAGGGTATGGGGGTAGTGGATCACTTGGCTGCTGGCTTATCTGCTGGCGGCGTCTGCTCAGCCAGTCCCACTCTTTGCTGTATCTTTAGCCAGATCTGATCGTAGGGTTGACTCAGTTCCGTTTGCGTTTTGGGTATTCCCACCGCACGTCGCACTTCGGGGGAGAGCAGCAGCATATTTTGGGCCAAGCCAAAGCTGCTGGAGGCCACCCAGTACACACACAGAGCCGAGGGCACGGTGCAGGCCACGGGAACCATCACGAGGCTCAGTCCGCGAAACACATTAGTGGAAATCTTCTGCAGACGCGTGGGCGTTCGTGTTCTCGACATGGATTGCAGCTCTATGATGCTCAGATTGAGCAGGCCCAGGGCCACTGGCAGTATATAGGAATTGTCCACCACAGTGAGGTTTGGTATCCAGCCAAAGCCGCCAATTGTCATTTCTGTGGCGGTTATTTGGGCTTGCAGCGTCGTCGGATCCGGCAGCATGTAGACCAAATTGCGCAGGGCAACAGACTGGAAAATCCACAACGGAATCTGACCCCACAACACGATGATTGTCTTCATGGGATGGCAGTTGTCGCGCACTATCAGGGTCTGCCATTGCTTCTTGATCTGCAAGGAAGGGGGAATTTAGCAAGTGTTCAATGAAATTGTTTCTGTTATGCAAACCGAACGCCTGTAGACGGCTGTCGTTTGCTTGTCGCTCCACTTGAACTTTTGCTTGGCCATCGCAGCCTCCCGCTTTAGCTCCTCCACTATGGCCGGCATTTCCAGGGCTAGCCGCTCAATGCGCGCCGTTATTTTGTGCTGGTAAATCGTCAGCGGCAACGTGACGACTCCTCGAAACAGGAACGTGGACAGCACAATGGAGGACCACCAGGGCAGGCCACTGTAGTCGTGGATCTGGATAAGTGCATCCTGCATGTAGGCCACTGGCGTGCTGTTCGACAGAGTCTGCCAAAATCCGACTAGACCGCTGGCATTGGAGAGTTGGACAGTTGCCGCTGCTGCCGCGGCATCTGTTGATGCCAGGCGACGATCGTGTGTTCCGTTTGGTGGGCTTGCTCGTAAGTAGCCATTGTTGTATGTGACCGCAATAGCCGGCCGTCGGCAGGCCCGCAGCAACGTTGTCATTTAAAAATAGTTAAAAACAAATTATTTCGTCCGGTAACCGCGGTTATCGTCTGACCCTCGAAAATATACCAAAACATAACTTTTCCTTTTCAAAATATACCGTAAACATACCATTAAATCTAAATAGTTTTCCTTGAACTTGATATTCTATTAAATATTACCTGCTAGCTAGGACTCTCAGCACTAAATTTTCTAATTTCATTTGATTAAGCAATCAATTCTCCACAAGATCTGCTAGTTTGGAGAACTTATTTTTGTTCCTTTGTTACCAAAATAAGTTTCAACCTAAAAAGGTCAAGAGAATATAACCATCAGACGTAAATAGGAATGGAGTGCTACGTATTTGACCACTTGTTGCTTGTCAACCGGCATTCTGTTCATTTGTATACCCTATTTCCATTAATTATTGCCAGTATAACTATATCTAGGAATAACATGTTTTTAGCAAATATTAGCAAGTTTTCTTAGACTTAACATTTATGAGCATATCTCATAATATCGTTGGCCCATTGTCAGTCATGTGGTAACCAGGAATATTATGAAGCTTGTCGAATATGTAGAAAGTTCAGGAAAAAAATATCTTGGTCTTCTATTTGCAAGAAATAAAAGATAAAACGGATATAAATATACGGATAGTTTACGGTTTTAAATTCAGCTGCCTAACTCAAGTTGTTCATCTGTTTAGTAAAAAGGTCCCAAGTGGGTTAAGTTGATGCACTCTTGGTATATCGGCTTATCGGTTTTCCATAGCGCAATATTTTTCTAAGGGTCAGACGGATATTTTTGCGTTTCATCCGCGGTCACACTGCTTGCAATTTTTCATTGTTTAAAACGCAATAAACAAAAAACAAAAAGTAATGAATTTAAGCCAAAGCCACCCACCATGGCAGACAATACCAGCAGTGGCTCTAACACAGATTTTTGACTATCTGGAGCCCCAGGACAGAAGGTCGGCAGCCAGTGTTTGCTACACCTGGAGACAGTGCCTCTTTCAAAAACGGTAAGTTGATGCAGCTGTGTGGGTATTTGTATGCGTTCGTGCGTGTGTGTGTGAGGGCTGGGTTCACTTGTACATGACTGGCTGAAACATTTCCATTTTTCACAAAAACGATTATATATTTCATTGTATATGGTCTCGTATATTATGGAAATGAGTTTATTCAATACACCAAGAGTATGGGGACAGTCAATGACCCTCCTTGAGTTGTAGGTGACGTTTCAAAAAACACCTCCATTTGGATACGTTGCAGCAACTCTGGTCTTTTGTTTATTTTAGTGTTGTAAACAGTTTTAGGTGCAATATATTTAAATTTTAGTTACATTTTTCTTCCAACTCCACAGATATTTTAAAAACTTTCGCTTTCAAATCAATGTGGCGCGCGATGATCAGTTAACCTTCTTCCACCGCAGTATGGCCCAGCTGGCCAGAGAGCTGGTCATTGTCTTTGACTTTCACAATGCATTTCAGATCCAAAAGATGCGACGACTTCTTTGCAAGTACGTAGTATTAATAGATATTGCATTTATAGATATAATATATATTATATTATATTAATAGATATAAACAATGACCCAAGTAACATTTCCTTTATTCCTTAGAGTGGCTCGTTGTGAAAATATCCAAGCGCTGCGATTTCAAACCCACAACGTAGGACTTGCTGCCGTAGGAAATATGCACAGCGATCACTTTGTGGGCATAGAACAGTAAGCATTACGCCAGAGAATGCCAGAAGACAGTTTCCCAAGTTTTCTTTTACTCCATCAGATGCTTTGTGGAACCTTTGAAGCTGTTTCTTAACCGCAAGTGCAAGCCCTGTCATTTGCTGGACCTGGGTGCCATTGAAGCTCTCACCTACTATGGTCAGGAGCTGCTTAGGTCCTGCGCCAAGCCCCAGGAGCTACAGCAACTGACACTGGCCAGCCTCAAGTACGATCCTAGTCACTATCCAATACTCTCGCTGGACATAACGCTGCTGCAGAAGTGTGCTAATCTTCAGGTGCTGTCCCTGGACTACGACACGCTCACCGATGAGCTGCTGCACACCATCCAGGTGCTGCCACTACGAAAATTTATCATAGTAGTCCATGGCCTGGACAGCGAGGAGCAGGCGAGTGTGTCGGAGTATGCCTGGGCCAACTTTGCCAGGCATTTTACAAGCATTGACCTAGTGCTGACATTGGTGTACGCCTACGAAGCCATTGAGCTGCTACAGACACGTGTCCTGCGTCGCCACATGCCAGTAACCCATGTGCGGCTGTTGTTCTGTGAGTTCATGAATTCCGAGGCCCTCGACTGGATGTCCCTGAACAACAAGGACACGCTGCGCAGCATCTACTATATGGATTCTGCGTATAAGCATAACAATCGCTTGGACTACCGTCACAACTTTCTGCGCCAGGACCCCTTCGTAATGATGGCCTGGCGCTGCGTGCGCCTGGAGGAGATTGTAGTGCACGGCTACCTGATGGATCCGCACAATCTGGTGGGCATTGCCCGTTTGCGAGGCCGCAAGCTGAAGCGCCTAGAGGTTTCCATGATTGACTGGTCCATGTCTCCGCTGAATGCCTACAAAGAGGTGAGTATCCCATACTTTCATACGATATACGGGCTTGATTTACTTTTATCTTTCCTAGGAAATCTGCTCGCTGCTGGGCCAACAGTGGGCACCCATCAGAATAGATGAACTTCCTCCATCGCTGTCGTATGGCCCTGTGGACTATGAAGTGCGTGATCAATTCGTATACGAGATGATGCGCCAGGATCTCGGCTAGTAAGTGGATGCAGCAGAAAACTCAAGTAAAAATAACCAAAAAATGAAGCAAAGTCATTAAGTAAAGGCGAGAAACAACCGACATGACCCGTGATCAACTCGAGAGCGTAGAAATTAACTTAAACATTATGAAACTTCTAATTACGTAGCTAAAGCAAAACCTAAAGATGACAAAAGCAAAGGCTAAATTGACCCCGCATATAGCGTATATGTATGCGTGTATCCTAAGTTATGACAAAGTGTGTAAATGTAAACTGCAAATTGATTGGATTGGCGAGCATTTTATAGAAGTTAAAAATTTAAGTTTTAAAGTTGTATAATCAAAATCGCTATCAAGTTTCGTTCGTTGGACAGACGAGAGGCGAAAGGCGAAAGGCGACAGCTGGGAGCTAGAGAATGTTAGGAGCAAAGCAAAAAGACTTGAGCAAGCCACAAATCAATGTAATTTATTGTAAAGCAAATGGGCAGAATGTGTTTGTTAATAACTGCTAGAAAAAAACATCATTTTATAAGCAACAAGAACTGTGATTCAAAGCAAAAGCAAAAGCAAATGCGATTACGAATACGAACATGAACACGAACACGAATCGAATGCAAGAGCGAGAGAGCCAAGTGTGAGCATCAGAAACCACAACAACAAACACCAAGAAATTGTTAAGTGAATTGATTGTCTAGTTAGCTAAGTTTAAAGATGTAACCAAGTAGAGTGGTTTGGTGGAGAAAGTGGCAAAGAAAGTGACTTTGTGAAACCAAGTACGACCAATGTCAAATTGTTTGCTCAAAAATGCAATTGGCACAAATTGTTAACCTCTGTAATAATGTGAATATGTAAATGTGAACACGGCGCTCAAATGTGATAAACTGGATGACAAAGAACATGACACGACAAAAGGGCAAACCACAACAAATGTAATAACAACAACGAGAGTACGATCCTCGTTCGCTAAGCGCCGCCGCCATTTGTCTAGTTTTCAAGTGATATTATGACAGCAAAAGAAAGAAAAGGACAGACACCCACACACACACAGACACAGACACAAGACAACATACACACTCACAGAGAGACACTCACGTATACAAATATATAGAGTATATATAAATATTGTAATAGCCAAATATCTAAGGGCTAAATGATGCTGCCGTTTACTGTCCATGCGATGCAATGCGTGTTCACGGCCTAAGGCAAAAGCAATAGCAACTAGCAATATGGCAAAGGCAATGGCAATGGCAAAATGTAAAACCCACAACCAACTTTTAAGTATTTTGTAGCACCGGCATTAATTTATACAACTATATGTACTACTACTACTATATTTTACCTATGTTTGCACAAAACAGCAGCGTATTGTCCAGAGCTCAACGCGATAGATCGTACTGCTGGTGCTCCCAAATGTTTGCTCACCGAACAACAAGTACAACCACAACGACAACAACAACAACAAAAATGGTACCTGAAGATCATGTTGAGCATTTAGAGAACAACAAGAACAACAAACAAACAACAACAACAAGACACAAAGCACTTGCTCAAATTTAACAATCTAAACAAAACAAAATCTATTGAAACAGAAGACTGAACCGACAAAGAAACACTCACAAAAAAAGTGCGTTGACTATGCTTGTCGTAGCGAGGGAGTGGAGGGGAGAGGAAGAGGAAGAGGCAGCACCGAGTTCTTGGACAAGCCGCAAACAACAAAAAACAACCACAAATGCGATCTCAAAGACAACTCTTACAACTATCCAATCGACCATCTATATTTGTATGTAATCTGTATGTATCTGTAAACAACCTATGCATGTAAACATTTTTTGTTATGGATTGCAGTAGCGAATATTAATTTGTAAATCACAGGGAAAACCAAGCAATCTATGCATGTATGTAATGCTAAACAACAACTGTAGTTAATTTAAGTCTAGTACATACCAACCGCGCAACAACCAAGCGACAAAACAACAACCAAATGTGATAAAAGTGTCATGCTGCTTCCGAAAAGAACGAAAAGAACATCCAGTGCCATCCAGCACACATGAATGAAACCGAACCGAACCGAACCGCACCAGTTGGTGAATGATCAAGCGATCGGTCGGTCGTTCGGCGGTCGGTGCGTCAATCAATGGATTTATTCAGTTACAATCAAACGTATGAAGTATGAAGAGTATTATAATTTTTGTGTTACACTAGAGTCACTTCCAACAACGCTGCTGTACGCGTAACGTAACGTAACGTAACGTTCTTTTTGTATACTTACTACAACAACAGCAACAACAAAAATATATATTTTATATGCCATTTATTGTATTTAAATTTAAATTCGAGAGGAGAGAAGGAAACCAATTTTTGTAAATCATTCCACAAAACACACACAAATGTAAATCATTGTAAACCCACAAAGCAAAATGCGATTTATGCTAGCCAGCAGCAACAAAAATGCAGCAAAAACAACAAAAAACAGTAACAACAATGTTTAAGATAAGTGTTGAGAGCAGAACGAGAGGAGACAGAAGGAAGGAACACCAACGAGAAGCAAGCATGTTATGTATATGTATATGAAATGAGTATATAAGAGTGAAAGAAAAACCCTGATGTAAATGAATGTGTGTACACACCAACGAGACGATACTAAGGGTAGTGGTGTGTGGTGATCCCGGGGGGGAAAGAAAGACGATAAAAAAACAAACAAACAAACAAAAACAGCCGTGCATTAACAACAAGATTTATAAATGTACAACAATATGTACATACATATATGCAAGTTATGCTTAAAAGTTATGAGAGCAAAAGTGAAGTGAAGAAAGCTGTGATAAAAAACAACAAGAAGGAAAACCAGAAGAACACACCAACACTAAAAACAACAACAACAACCACTATTACAACAACTACAACAACAACAGACAACAACAACAAAAGAACAAGAAAAAAGCCAATGCGAAACATGTGCGACCAACAAAAGAATGTTAACAACTTTTCCAAAACAAAACAAAAACAAAAAGAGAGTTAAGAACCAGAAGAGAATAGAGATGAAGATGTTGATTAGATGGACCATCGGGAATGAGGCCCAATGATATAATGATTAGCAGATCGACAGCCGATCGAGTAGTAGTACGATAGTTAGCTTAGCGGGAATACGGCAGCAGCAGCCAGACAGCGCAGGGCAGCAGAGTGAAACGAATTCTTTTAGTTATATTCAATCTGATTTTATCCAAATAAGTGGAAACCAATGTTAAATTATATTCAAATGTAGCAAATACTCACACAAAAACCAACAACAACAAGAACAAGAAAAGTATGCACATAGAACGCTTTAAATTAATGAATGAAAACATTTTATTTCAAGCTGATTTGCCATGTCTATGAGTTCCGCAGAATTTGTATTAAAGCTAAAACTACAGAACAAAAATTATATATAAACAAATGGCCAGCAACAGTTTTTGTGGCATATGCAATATATCATTAACATTAAGACATGCAACAAATTATAAACCAATTATGTAGCAAACAAAATGCATTCACTTGAAAAATCAATAAAAAAAAAAACAAAAATGTTATAAAAATGCAAATAAAAATTTAACTAATTTCAAATGTTTCCCTTGCCATACAAAAATGTTAAGATAAAGTTCTTCAGCAGCTGTTACACAACCAAAACATCAACACACACACACACACTCATGGACTTCCGCAGCCACCCACACACACGCATAAACCTTGAGGACTTCCGCTTGACGCAAATGCTTTGCCTCTCTCTACGTGGGTGCGAGCTTTTCTCAGTCCTTGAACTTTTGACCTTGTTCTTTGGGCCCGTCCTCAGCTTTATCTCGGTCCTTGGATTATGTAAGCGGGTGCAGGTTATGCAACATGCCATCATGGAGGCTGGGCTGGGCTGGGTCTGCATGCACTTTGCCAGTGGCTGCCAAACTGCCGCAGGTAAACATTGATAAGCAGCATTCTCTGGCGGATTGAAGATAGCTATCACTTCAATCAGATAGCGTTGTTTAATGAATGACTAGCCGTGTCTGCGAATGGCTTATCTAAACTAGAGACAGTCAGCGTCAGCAGAGCAGAAAGATAATGCTAGGAAATGATATCCGTAACCAATAATCCCTACAGTCAGCTGCCATAACACCCGCGATAGACTCGCCCAAGTTTAATATAAATAAATATTACGCTTATTGATTTGTGCAGCCTTTTGGCCAGCTTTTGCTTCATTATTGATATACATTGTCGTGCCATAACGTAATCGCATGAGTAATGACCCAATATCGAGAGTACCACTGGCACACGCAAATAGCACCTTTTGTTTAGGTGTTTTGGGAGGAAAAATCTCACTAGAAAAGCTTCACGAAATGCAGTCAGGAGACGGAGAAAACATTGGCGTCGGCGCTCTCAGTCATTCTCTCACTCTGCTCTCTGTCGTTCTCTTTCGCTCTCCGTCCATGCTCTTCGCTCTTCGCCGGCGTAGTCATAGCCATCGTAGTCGTCGTCGCCGCGAGTCGAGCAGTTGAATTTTGCACAGAACAGTCGAAAAAAAAATTAAAGAAGCATTCAACAGCACGCAGCTAGAGCAGAAACATTTGCAATTTGGTTAAATGAAATTTTAATAAAATCAGCAAGATATTTACACCCTGCTGTGGAACGGTCTTCGAAGTGGCATTTAAACCCCTTTTGATACGAGAATTACCCCCAAAGGAACCAAGGAACAGAAACCCAGCGACCCTCCAGTTAACATAGTTTAGAAGAAGATTTTTCCAACTGTTTTATAAGTCCTCCCATCCGAGCAAAGGTGAGTGGACCCAAAAGGGGCCTTCGTTTACACCCCCAATCATCCCTCAAGTGTGGCATGCTGCATAATGCTCGTCTCTCACAGACTGTGACGTAACTGTCCATGGATGCGTATGTGTGTGTGTGTGTGTGTTTGTGTGTCACTCTTAAATTGCTCATACGCCGCGTTTGCTTTCAAAGAAAATAAACAGAGAGAGAGAGAGAAGACACAGCTGCGCTGCTGTCATAAGTTCCAGAGACCAAAACCAACAAATTTTGGCACAAATCTGATGAGTAAACAAAATCCCTACAGGTATTAGCCACAATAATTGATCGATGGTGGCAAGCCCTATATTTAGACGCTTTGCTGCGGCGCCATTCAGAGTGCACATTTGCCAGCATTGATTTGGATGGTCTGGCTGCCTGCCCAGAAGTCGCGCATTTTCACGTGCCCCACGGCGCTCTGCGAATGCATTTCGAGCGTTCAGCGCGGTTCAGCGAGTCAATTTGCAATCCGGCATGGGGACGGTACTCTTGCACCCGTTCCCGCTTTTTCTATAAATAAACCTTGAATAATGCCGGCATATTTGCACTCATGTCTTTGCTGTGCTGTGCGCTCTGCGACTCGACCGACTCTTTGCTGCCTCTGTAAATACTCTTTTTATTTTATCTGCGTCTCGAGAATTAATTAAAGCTTTGTCTCTCGGTTGCTCCGGACTTTGCTGCTGTCTCTGGTGCTGCTGCTGTTGATTGACTTTTCGCAACACTCATCGGCTGCGCTACGTCACTTTGTTGTCAGTTTTCGATGTCATTTCAGTGTCAGCGCCCAACAAGTGCATGTTTTGGAAATTGCCATTTATAGCCCAAACAATTCCCATTAATTGACAGCTTAATAGTACATACATATGAATACATATTCATCAGTCTGAACACTCACTCTAATTACGATTTTCATTTATTTTCAGCTATTTACAATGTTCGCTTTGTGGTATTTAACATTTGCTGTCGACGAAATCCGGTAAGTAGCGAAACGGTTTGACAGCCACTGGACTGCACTGGTTGTTTAGTTTAAAATGTGTGCTTTGTGTTGCCTGCTTTTCGGGGCGCACGTAAAATGTGTTCAAGGTACATGTATAATTGACATACACGCTACAATGCAGGTCAGCTTTAATGCAATGTAGAATTATATATAATTGGGAGGCAAGGATTTTAATGCATCAAATGGATTTATATTTAATTGGGAGCTTATGGAGAATTCCAATATCCATGCTCGACTCGAATTTCGCTCATACGAGTTGCCTTGTTGCACGGTTTGTATTGATTACCGTTCATTCACTCCATAAATCTCTCAGATAACTGTTATCGTCTGGTTTCCTTCCCCCTATGATTGATTTTCGCAAAACTCCACAATCTAATCATCTCGGAAACAGTCTGCAGTATGCAATCTAAGCCCCAATCTCTACTTTCTCACTCTCTCTCAGTCTATTCGCACTTGTCGTGGGATCGCTGGTTATGGCCGAGAGGTGCTAACTGGCTATGCCTTGTTCTCCATGCATTTAGCAACAAAGTAACTCACTCATTCACACGAGCACACAGTCACATGATGGATCTGTTTCTGCTTTCGTCAGCCCCTGCTGCAAAACTGAGCAGCAACAACAACCGGCTTTTCTACGTTGGCTCTAAATCTCATCGTGATAGCTGCAATCAGCAGCGACAGCGACCCACAAATACACTCGCACTCTCACGCACTCACCCATGCGAATCCGAATTCACAATTTTGGCAAACAAAACGGCCAGTTGTTGTTATCTACCGGCAATTAGCGTAATAATGAAAGTGATAATTAAAGTTTGCCACGGTATTCGTTTGGCCAAAATGAAACACCAGCCGGCTTTCGTTGTATTTGTGAGTTTGTTTGCTTATCTATTGGCCGCACGAGTTCTGCGCTTTCTTCCGCTCGTTTGGCCTACGTGACAGCAGAAATGCTGACTATTACGGGGGATAGGAGTACGAAATTGATTTCTTACAAACAATCTGAAAATCTATTTGAATTTGAATTTGAATTTCATCCTTCGATATCGATTACATCGATTCCTGGAATGCTGGAAGCTTTGCAAGAGTGACCCTGTAATTGATACAATTAAGGTCACACTGCTTGTTTTGCATCGTCTCTTATGTTCTCGTCTTCCCTTTTGCTTTGCTCCTCCTACCGCTTGGTTTTCATCGTCCCTTTTGTTCTCATCCTCCCACCGCTTTGACGCGTTGATCGCACATCTGTTGTATTTTCGCAAATAACTAAGCGTTTAGTGTCAAATAATTGCCAATTAATTGTTATTTCATCTTTCTGCATTGTGTAAAGTCGAAGGTGAGTCGAATTGTAGTTGAAAACTGCGAAATAGTGGCAAAACTGCCACGCTAAAGCAACTGCAGCGCCGCTAGTTTTGCCGCGTCGCTTTTGCTCTCATCTTCCTATTGAAAAGTACGCAAATCTGCTCTAATTTAGCAAAAAACTAAGCGAAACTTGTAAAAAGTTAACTTTTAATTGTATTTTTAATTGTGGGCAGTAACTGAAAATAAAGGCGTGTCGAATTTTAACTGAAGTTCATTGCATCAGAAAGGGTGCCCCGCGTGCCGCAGCCATGGTACGTTGGAGAACATTCTGTGGAAGAGAAAACGCATTTGCGGGAGGAGGGGGTTTCACGTTTATTGTATTTGTGTTACATTTTAAGTTTTTTGTTTGATTATGTTGTTTTAATTATAATTTTCTTTTATTTTGTTTTTGATTCTTTTTGTAGCAAGCGCTTGGCTTGGTTTTTTAGTTCAAACAAGCCTGCAGCGCCCGCGTTAGACAACAAACCAGCGAATCCAGCTCCTGCGCCCGCTCCAGCACCAGCTAAGGAACCCGCTCCAGCACCAGCTAAGGAACCCGCTCCAGCACCAGCTAAGGAACCCGCACCAGCACCGAAGCCAGCAGCTGTACCTGCTCCAAAACCAGAGCCACCGAAACCTGCGGCGCCTGTTGTAAACAAACCGACACCGGCCCCAGTTCCTGCGCCTACTCCTGCACCTTCTCCCCCGAAAGAAACTGCACCAGCACCTAAACCGCAACCCACTCCTGCTCCAGTGGTTGCCCCACCGAAGCCAGCTCCTGCTACAGTCGTACCTCAACCAAGTACTCCACCAAAGACAGCTGACAAGATGCCTATCCCGTTGCCAAAATCGTTGACCGAGGGCA